AGCCTTATAGATTAATATTTAGCCTTATAGATTATATTTAGCCTTGTAGATTATATTTAGCACCTTATAGATTATATTTAGCCTTATAGATTATATTTAGCCTTGTAGATTATATTTAGCCTTATAGATTATATTTAGCAAACCTTTACCTTCCCAGAATCCTTTGGGGAATTTCTTGTGCAAATTGAAGGTTTAACGAAATTATTAACCACGTTGAGAACACATCTGCTTTCCTATGGTATGGCAAAAGCTGCAAAACTAATCCGTAATCTGATCGATTGTTGTCTGAAAATTGGCAGGAATTCCGATTTTAAGGTAATTAATTACCCCTAAAAATTTCGTGAAAAGTTGATCGTAGATTAAATCCAATATACATATGATGACTTATTTATAAGGCGTTATCTATAATTACTGTGATTGATATTATCAAAGACACAAAACCATTATATTTCCTATCACAGCTTACATTATGTATGGAATATATTCAATGGGCCAAGCAGAAAAATCGAATATTTTTACGGTATATGCTTGAAGTACGTTTGATGCGTCTGTTGAACGACATAGGACGACACATGGATGTGTTGACTATGAGTAAGTTCGTTTCATACAAAACCTATCTGGAAGAGCTCTCCGTTTTTGCGGTGTTTTTCTGAGTTTTCAGAGAAAAAATAATTTCGAAAATTTCACTTCATCGATTTGCATTACTTTCTCTACTTTACATTTCTTTGGATTTAATTTTTTTATTTTTATGTACAATTGGAACTAAAAACTTTCCAGTGAGGCGAATTCCAAATTACATTTCTTCTTAACATCCTCCTCAACTTTCAATTTGTTTATGACTGGATATAAAGGTGCAAAATTGAGAAATGAGCTGAAGAAAGTTGAAAGCAAGGATATCCAGTTGGAGGTACATCTGGAAGAAAGCAAAGCTGCCTTCGCGCTTAACAATTTGAATCGTTTTCGTACTGCACTCGTAGCTGCACGAACTATAGCTGGCTCTTTATACATTGATACTAAATTACAGGTTGCTTCTTCCATGGTCTACAATATGCCTTCGTAATAGGGTGGAGAGATACAGTTATTTTGGTTGAGTGACTTCAGCACTCGACTCCTCAAACCGCATTAATTTTCCCCGAAATTTATTCAGGCTCAGCTTGACATGGAATCAGGGATACTGAATATGGCGGAGGACCGCGATTTCAAAACGGCTTTTTCGTACTTTTATGAAGCATTTGAAAATTTTGACACTAATGAGGAGAAAGTTAATGCTCGGAAGGCCCTTAAGTATATGTGTCTTGCAAAAGTATGCTTTTTCACTTTCAAGTTGTAGAATATCCTCTGTCCCGAAAACTATCCATTTAATTATTTCAAACGAGAAAAGTTGAATTCCGCTTTCATTACTTTCCGTTCAGGAATTTTTACTTGCGCCATTTTCAGATTATGTTAAACGAAGAAACAGAAGTAGGCTCACTGCTGTCCAGTAAACTAGCAACCAAATATTCGGGTCGTGACCTCGACGCGATGAGAGATATAGCAACAGCATTTGAGAACCGATCCTTACAAAACTACTACAAGGTTTAAATTTATGATTTGCACGCTCACATGCTTTTTTCTAAAAGAACTATTTATTTAATAAATAAAATCTCATCTTTCCAATGAAAAGCGACTTAGAAGATATCTTACCTATTAATTCTTTAACAACTGAAAAAGAATGACAAAATTCAATCCTGTTATTTTTAAAATTTTAATAAAGTAATTAGAAAGGTGCGCTATCCGAAATATATAAAAAAAACTCCATAGGCAACTGAAAAATATAATGTGGAGCTTCAGTCCGATTTCATAATCCGCAGATATATTGATTCGCTTGCTGATACAGTGCTTGAAAAGCATATCAGTCATGCCATCGAGCCTTACTCCATCATTGAAGTGTTGTCCTTTTTTCTGTAATTCCTAAGTTCTTTAAAATACTGACAATTTGATATGCAATCTCTAGTAAGAGAATTATAGCTAACGTTATTTTTACTAAGATAATTATGATTTTTTTTTGTTTACAGTATGCTTCTGAAGCATTTCTGCATAAATTTTCTTGTAGCATTTCAAAATATTCATTTTCAAAAACTAATTTTCAATCCACACTTAATTTTAAAAAATTGGAATTCCAAATTCAGTATTCCAAAGGAGGAAAGACAAAGGTTCGATTTTAGATGGCCACGCTAGCGAAAAATATCCACATCCCAGTTAAACGAATTGAAAAGAAACTGGCGCAAATGATTCTTGACAAAAAATTCCAAGGTCAGATTATAGCAGTTCCCCGAATATTGAGATGTAATAATTCTAAACTAAAGTGGATTTAATTTATTGACAATTCCTTTTTAATTTCCCATTATCTGAATTTCTAACAAATGGTATGATTCTGAATTTTTTCATGAACAATTCTTCAATTCAGAGCCTGACAATATCAATAACGGTCACTGCTAGCAATCGTGATAAAAATAATCGTCAAATGTCAACGTTAATTCATAGATCTCTTTCTAATTACATAGTTTTGGATCATTTCTTAATCAGAGAAAAAAAAAACCTTCCCAGTACCTATTTTGACTTGCTGTTCTCCATATTTAGGCATAATTGATCAACAGGACGGTACATTAGCACTGTACAATTTCCCACATGACATACAGATGAAAACATTCATTGCATCGGTGGAAGTCATACGTGGTCTATCCCAGGTCAACCTTCAAACTCTAACTTAAATTTAAAAAAACAGTAAGAAACTACAAGGAATTCAATGTATTCGAAAAATTAGTCTCACAATCAGAAACTTATTTAGTACTAGACAAAGACGAGTCCTATTGCAGACAATTGACGAGATCTATTCCTGTGCAAATAACCCGTAGTCATGATAATTATGCTTGAACTGCTGCTATAGTACACTACTGGTATGTGAAACAAGCTATCGAACTGAAATTTAAATATTAGAAAATGTTGTGTCTATCTATTTGAATATTGTCAAGTGAAGCCGAGTTCCTATGAAATAAACAGTAGTATATCATATTTTTTCTGTATTTGACCTTGTATGAGTCAATCTGATAGCCACAGTATCTCGCACTAAAGTTATTGAATAACATCGACATCTACAGTTATTTTTCCATGTAAAACTGGGAAGGAACGATTGTTGCTAGTTCGAGCAACTTGACGTTTCCCGCATGGCTTTATTTGCATAGCTATTATTCGAACATTCCAATCTGATGGCCTTTGATGGGATGAGAAAAAGAAAAGGAAGATCTGTAAAAAACTTATAAGACTAGTATCACCGAATTCTTCCAGAGGAACTTACTTATCCAGACGATGCCTGCATTTTATCCAAACTCTTCCTATAAAATATTTTAAATTGTTCTGTTATGCTTTTCCTTAACCAGACCATAAACTTTGAGCAAAGCTTACTACTAATTTTCGTACATATTCCAAGTGTTTTAGCGTCAAAAGTCTAGCCCTGGATGGCAGTTAAGAGTGAACAACATGAGAACAGCAGTGTATGTGATGCTGAACATTGATATTGGCGGCAACAATGTACAAACAGTGAAAAAAGAGGAAAACATCCATGTGACTCATCCAAAAAATTGCTGGTCATGAACAAGATGATGCTACTCAAGAATTAAATTTTATGTTTATCATGCACATTAATGGTTAACAAATAACGCAATGCAAAAACAGTACAGATTTAGTTATAAGAGAACCAGAAAAATGGAAGTGTATATTTTTCTGGATGTAAGGAAGCGAGAATTCATAACTTCCAGAAAAATAAGATCTGCGGATACTAAAATTCCAGATTTCCAGCTCCCTCAGATAAAGCTGAGAGTTAGTTGAGTCACAGCAGCTTAATTCATATTAGAGAATTACAGCGATGACAAAAACTCTGTTTACGGGATAATGTGGAAAAAAGCTATACACCTGAAAAAAGACAACCTTTTTTTACATAACATGCATTATAAATAAGCTTAAATATATGAATACATTATGGTCTTGAATTAAACCAATGCAAGGATAACCTAGATAACAGGATGTCTCATTTATAGGAATTCCAAAAAAAAAAGTTTCCCGACGTGGGGGAGCAATGCACTGTTGAATTACTTCAGCAAGTATAACCCACTGAGGAACTCTTTACATTCGCCTTTCTTCTTTATCCAGTGCCTAAAACAATTCCATCATAAAATGAGAATTAATGTTTTCAGCATGCAATACTATTCAATAATGGAGCTTTTAATTAAAGTAAACGATGCTATATAATGCACTAATAAGTTACCCTCCAAAACAGCTTCAATTTTACTAAGAAAAAGACAAATTGCCAGTTATTAGCCTTTAAAAATATGAAAATATCAAACACTGACAAAGCAAAACCTATGTGAAACAAACCATAGACAACAGATTCAGATCCATACTCCATAAACTTTTCCATGTTGTTGACTTCAAAGCTTTGAACCGCTCCCATAGCTCACTCCGTTTTTCTTGTAAAATCAGAATTTCTTCATTGCTCAAACGACAAAGTGGCATGTCGAGCAAATATGCAAAATCTGGTGAATTGCGATTTTCATCCTACACAAAATATGATAAAGTGAAATTGCAAGTAAAGTAAACTGAGATTTTTATTAAAATTCATAATATGCTTCACGAAATATGTGCTTCACGAAATGCTTCACGAAATAGAGACAGTTACTCTCTCGATATATACCCATTTGCATCAGGTAATTTTGCAAGAATATTGACATCAACTTACCACAGTATTTTTCATTTTCATCGGATTCGAATCAAACCCTTTCTCAATTATCTGAGTTACAATTTCTACACGGTTCTTCTTTTCAATAATGATTTCACCATTGATAACAGCATTTACGAAACGAACCTAAACAAGTCAAATGTAAATCTAATCCTCTTATTGAAAAGCCTTGGAGGTTTTAACACTAATGATGGAAATCACTGTGAGAATGACGATAATTTCAATAAAGAAATTTGACAATTTCACCATAATGAAATGGCAAATGTAAAAAATACTAGCTATTGATATCTTAGCCAACGTTAACACCTTCAACTGGCAACATTTTCATCGAAAAGTCTTGAAATTTTGAGACTGTCTAACTTTACCTGATTTCCAATAAATTTAAGTTTTTTATCCATAGCTTTCAATTCATATTCCCTCCTTTCTACATATTTCTGCCGACGAACTTCGAAAAATTCTTGAAATATGTCTACCGTGGAATTGTATTTTCGCAGTACGTTTTTTTCATCGAACAAAATCTGAAATATCCATATTATATTTAATGCGTAAGATACCCAAAAAAACAACTATGAACAAAGCATGTAAGTAGTAGTACAAAATAGCTAGAGATGAATAGTAGTACATAAATTATGCAACAACAAAATATTACTGTAAATGCAATTAACAAGAAGAACTATTGCACAAGAACTTAGAAAGCTACGAAACTATTATAAGAATATACATAAACAATCGACTCAACGCTTAAATATATGCAGTCTATTACGAATATCTCAAACCTAAATCAATATGATACGACAAAGGTAACATAAACTCATGTGAATTTTAATTTCAGATGTACAATAACAAACCATTGAGTTTTCACTTGCTACTGATCGTAATTTTAACAGCCGATTGAGTGTCTTAATTTGCTTTTTGTCACTTATCAACGGTTTATCAATCACATGAAGAATGAAATGTACATTGCTTTCACTGTGCAATTCTTCATAACTACTGCAAATAAAATAACTTAAATTCAATCATGTCCCGATCCGCAACAAACAAAACTAATATAAAGACCCATAAGAGATAAGAATGTATCATAAACGATATCATCAAACTATGAATCCTTTACCTTATTAATCCGCTTTTCATGATAGAATCGAGCACTTTCTCCTTATATTTATTATTCCAAATCCCAGTGGGAAGCTCCGTTATTATTGCCTAAAAGAGAACGAAAAATTTAAATCTTACAAAACGCTAGTAGAACTCCTTCACAAAAAAATTATCGGGAAAATTCTTCAGTAAATGAAGAAACAAAAAGCATTATTAGTAAATATTATAATCTTCACCCTAAGGCCGCTTCTCAAACGATGGTATGAAATTTTCCCAGAAATACTGTATTGACGAGGTGTAATTTCATTTATCGTTCCTTGAAATTTTCGGAAATGTGGCAACTGGAATAAAGCGAAACTAGAAGATTGAATTCTTGTCCAATGAAAATGAAATAAAACCTACATGCTGATTGCAGAAGTGGATGAGGTCCTACCACTCCACTACGTTTCAGTGAGACTGCGGTGGTTGCATTTATGCTTAAGCATTCAAAAAATTACAGTTATGAAGTAAATCGTCTTATTAAAAACCACAGAGAACCGCGGTAGGCGAGTCAATCTGTAGACAGCTAAATAAAAAACTATTTTTTCTATTCACTGACCATAAAGCTTTTCTGCTAAATTAAACTTTGACAATATTTTCTTGATCATAGGTTTTTCATTTCAAAGAAAAATTTCCTTCATGAAGTTTTTTCATTTACTCATTCACGCATCTTTTTGAGCATATATCAAGTAAATGCTAAGTTATTATGCACCACCAATTACAAGCAGTTAACATACCACTAGTTGTGAATCGCATTATGTAGTTGAGTAGTTTAATAGCAGGGTAATAATGCCAGAGATCATTTAACCCATATTTGCATAAATTTGTTAGGTAAAAGCTGACACATCGTACTGCTTGCTTATAGTTTTTCAACATCATCATTCAAAGAATTAGAAGAATATCGAGCAAGCTATTTAATTCTACCCTTGTATTATCTCTCTGTCCTCCTTCCTCACCTACATCTAATTTGATAGTTTTCCGCTATTAACAAAAAAAAAAAAAAAAAAACAAAGTAATATGAAAACGCCTTCAAATACAAGGACGCAAAATTACGAAGGCAGCAATAATACATACCATGTCCTGCAGCGGTCGTCCATCAATAAGTCTTTGAGCGTTACTGATGATTTGCCTAGGACAGCGCGGTAAAATTTTCGTGGCCCATCCAGTACCAATCCCTTCTGCACCATTTATTAAAATCATCGGAATTATGGGACAGTACCTAGTAATTTCATATATTAATTTTCATTCCAAGTATACAATGCCTAACTAGTTTTCAATCTGAAATAAGATCTTAATATGCAAAGTTAGTTTTGTGTCAAGATCTGATAACGACGCTGACTGAAAATTACGATCATTCCAAAATTAACTAAAGAAAAAAAACAAATTTGCAATGTTGCACTCAACCTTTCCTCACATGTTCCAATTTTGTTTTAAAATTTCTAAAATTCACCATTCTGGTTCAATGAATGTGTTTTCTTCCATCAAATATTTCAGAACTTTGTCATCTGCACGCGGAAATATGATTCGCGCAAGCGGACTGAATTTTGATTAGATAACAGCTAAGATGAACACTAATGACAGTACTGAGATGAAGATTCAAATTGGAAACAGACAGAAAAACTAAGATGAAAAAACAGCTTTGGAAAAATTCAGCAGATTCTGAAGGTTAAAAATTAAAGGTTACTCTGGACACTCGATTACAAAACAGAGAAAGACTTAATGCTACCTCAGCGAAGTATAGATGTATCGTGCACTTGCCGCATCTTCACCACCTGCCAGACGTGTACCAAACTGACCAAGAGGTAAAAGAAGATTTAAATTATTGGAACCAACGAAGTCTTGAGCTAAACGAATGATCGTATTTACCAAAGATTCCTAGAAGAGAACTCAGTGAAATAAGGAAAGAATGTATTGATAAGTTAGGACCAAACAAAAATCAAAAGCAGAAAAAAAACACATGAAGACTGCCGAAGATACTGGAAGAAAATCATAATCTACCTCCCCATGATGGTATCCACAATATTGTGAAACAGCACCCGCTAGCTGACTTACTCGTACTTCATCACGTTCATAACGTCCAAACATTGTAAACAAGACTTTTCGTTGACTTGGTTTATAGCCATCCACAATATTTGGTAGAGAACGCTGAAATTACTTGGACAGTCATAATAACCATAAAAAATATTACGAAGCGCAGCAAAAAAATTCGAAATTAAGAAAACGTTGTAATGAAATGATTGTTACATAAGTTTTTACATCCTGTAAACTCACATACTCAAAGCGACTGATATGGCTCCTTTTTCTATTTTTGCTAATATTATTTTGGCAACTCATTAAAATAACTTCTTAATAGTAATTATTCCATCCCATACCGCAATATATTAAAATGTGAAATAATATTTAAGAATTCAAATTACTATTAAAGATTCAAATTATTAGTATTCGATGGAGTGGAAGTTCTCTATATAAACAAATTTCTCCAAAATACCAAAAATTTAGACCGAAATGTAACAAACCCGAAGATCTAATTGCGAATATTCCAGTAATTCTTTGTTGACGAATTCAGAAAAAGTTTTCTGATTGCAGTTTGTGGATGATAACAGCAGCTGCAATCTCAAATCATATCAAAGAAGTAAGACCTAATTTCATCTTTTTACTGCCCGTATAGAAGAGGTAGTAAAAACTCACCTTACTACTTTCAGCAATCCATATTTTTCGATCATCAGCTTTATTTTTCGCAAATGCAAGGTCAATGCTTTCATCTGCCGCCTTACCATCGTAAATAAAATTTACTGTATGTCGTTCAATATCCGTAAAGTATTCTCGTGCTTCCTTAGCTGATGATGTTCCCAGTCCTAGAACGATACTTTGATAATTAACCACCATTATCTTATTAATGCAATGACCGCTTTAATAACAGCGTAGGACAATGAGACATCAATTTCCTAAGGAAGGTTTCGAAATTTGCTGTCACACCTTTGTAATATTTTATCGAATACTTTGCGGAATCAGGATTTTCTGCTTGCCATCTTTCATAATCAGCTGTACTATAAAATGACTTTACTTCGGACCCACGCTTTGCCTACAAAGATACCAGCATGAACAACGAGGAGGAATATGCTTGCTTTTCTTTAGACTGCATACAATATTAAGATTTTTTTTAGAATTTTCTTTGAATCACTTTCGATCCCCTTATTTATCCGCTGCTCCTCCATTACTTTCATTCACATCTATAACTTACCACAGAAGCAAAAATAAACCTCTCAAGAAATACCCAAAACAACAAACAACCTTCAATAATGGAGTAATGAAATAATTGATGTAATTAGCTTTAAGTAGAGATGGCCAATACATATGTAACAGATTTATAATCAATCCCTTGATATGAGATCCATCGGGGTCCTATAATATTTTGTCACCGCTAATATACATTTCGTATTTCATCAAAAAACCGAACTGGTGAAGAAAATATAGGAGAAAAACGGAGGATGTTAAGTGCAAAACAATTATGATAGTAAAATAAGAAAAAAGAAGACAGACAAATTTCGAATTGAGCAGAAAGTATAACTTGCGGTCAGTCCAATCTTTTCGCTGATACCTCGCAAAGATAAACTATGATTTGCAAAAGATAAATTATGAAATGATGCGGTAGACTATAATTTCTGAATAATTGATCCTTTTAAAAACGGTATGGCTATTACCTGATCTGTCATTATAAGCAATCGCCCATAGCGCAAAGATTTTAAGTCCTCGGCGTTGCCATAATTTTCACCAAATTTTAATCCCAGTATTCGTATAAGAGCCGAGATTTCACTATTTTTGACAGCCTTTAAAAATGTTTTAACAGTCCGTGTAATAAAAAATATGCTAGGAATCGAAATGACAGAAAAAATTACCTCATCTCCAACCCACTGTTTAATATAAAAGGTTTGAAGACACTAAAAAACAAACAAAAAAGAAAACTAAACAAGAGTTTACAGTTACGATATATATATGTATATTATATATATATATATATATATATATATATATATATATATATATATATATATATATATACTA